CTCGAACGGTGGGAACACGACTCAAGAACACTGTTCTCGGAACAGGATCACACACCACCTCCTCGTCAGGGTTTTACAGGAACACACGGAAGAACTCGTGAGATTTTGATTTTTGAACAGCTGCAAAAACTAGAGAGATGGCTTCCAAAGCCATAGACAATTGGAAGTTTTGCAAAATTAATATTATTTTCCGTAACACAGAAATGAATGTTCCTGTATATGTAGAAAAGAATTCAGCCCATCCAAACATCAACTCTCGAATAACGTAGCCTACATGGACGCGATCCGGTTCGTAAGTGACTTCATCACAAAGGCGGACGCGCCACGATTTACAGGCTTCCATTGGACGACCGCTGACGTTGCGCGTCAACTTCCAGTTCCATGGTTTCATGTAAACGGCTACCAATGCATGCAGCTCTACGTACTGTACAGTGCATGTGCACTTGACGGTATAAACTGAAGTGACGTCACACTTACAAACCGGATATCATTAGGAAACGCGTATTAAACGCGCAAAACCTAGACAACGTTTAACATAAATTAAACTCCCACCACCTAGCCTTAGCGTGAATAAGCCGATGACATTGCAATTAAACGCTAGAAATCGGGCACATTTATTTGGATAAGAAGCAACGCTTCAGTGGTCATTATTTCTATAATGAGTACAAGAAAAATAGGAAGCCATCTTAATTTTGTGCACAATGACGAAATATGGTAAGCATGAGTAAATTTGACACCTTGACTGCAGCCTACTTTCACGTGATTTGCTTGGGTACAAATTTGCGTAGCTTCGAGAAGGGCTAACGTCAGTATATCGCTCCCTTGTAGGAAAGACCATGTTCGCCACGAGCTTCAATCGCTACGGAAGTGGCCCGAGCAATGGGGATTGATGACCCGTGAATATACGCGCCTCAACCGGCGTCTGATTGGAGAAAAACTCACTCCCGAGCCGGGTGACTCCATCTACCCGACCCGATGCCCCTCCTCGGACGGCCGCGGTCCTAACCGCTCGGCATCTTCCTCATCCCAGAGATCTACGCCGGGGTTTTCGTCCACCCGGCTGCCTTCTATCCTAGGCGGCAAGTCCACCACCCCAATGCGGCCGCCCGCGTCCGAGGCAACGCCAAAGCTCTCCAAACTCCCTGCCATTTCTCAAGGGACTTACGGGGACCGGGGGCCCGTGTCATCGACCGGACCGTTCCCGCTAACAACGTCGGGTGAGATCGGCTGGCAGTCCGCAAGACACGTGGGTAACCGACTAGAGATTTACGGACGATATGCTCCCAATGCAAGGGGACAACATGGTATATTGAAGCTGCTTAATTGGCCTCAGCAAAGCATCATGTAAACTGACCATGAGTTGGGAAGTACAACTAGGGCCTTCGTGCATTTTATTTTAAACCTTTTACAAATAAAGTTTAAACAACTAAACTCAATTTTGATCCTTAATGGATAACATAATCCAACCACAATCAAATGAAGCACGTTTTAAATGTTAAAATAGATATTTCAAACAATAACGTCCTTCACAGATATATAACACTGCCTTTTTTCAAATCTTTCACAATTTGTCCACAATCGATAGTAAACCATGATCTTAAAGCAGACAAACGAGTGTGTTTGTAGCAGAAGCTATAAGGATCTTAACTCCAAACTTCCAGGACAAAATTCACCAGATACTTCAGGCCAAAGACAGACAAAGCTGAGATGAGGCGAAAATCCATAAAAATGTTTTTAAACTAATGCTTTCTCAACCAAAAACCGCGATCTCATAATCAGGATTTCCACATTCTGTTTAAGAGAAACACTGTACATGTACTTGCATACATGCGTAAAGTATGAGGTAATTTCGTTCTGCTAAGAGGTATTTTACACCATCTTTTGAGCTTTAAGCTTCTGAAATTGAAAGCCAAGGACTCTGTTAGAATTTCATACAAGAGGTGAATTATGGAATACAACAAGATGGTCTGTGACTCGGAGGCAATTCACGCAGATGAAGCAACATTTCCAGTCTTTCATCTAGACCTGCCCACCAACCTGTTCTCCATACTGTCATCAGATTACACCAATTAAAAGCTCATTTATAAAAGTGGGGAAATTGTAAGGTGTGTTCTTATTGCAACAAATTACATGCTAACATGTTACATCAATTTGGGCATTGGGGCAACGTTACATTCACAAACTTGACTTCACACAAATAACATTCATAGGCTTTGTGGCCTACGCACATCTTCATCTGCGCAGGATCTTTTTGATGTCAGTGTTGACTCCTTCAATGCGTGTGTCTAATCTGTCCGTCTTGCCTGTGATGCGGTCAATGTCATCATTCTGGCGATCGATTTCATCACCCAAGCCCATGCCCAGGTTTTTGAGTCGAGCAAGTCCACTGGACATTTCATCTAACCAGTTGGAAAACAAAAGAACCAAACTGCTGTACATGAATTTTAAATTATTCACAACTTTTTGGTCCAAATCTGTAGTGCAGTTACATTTGGAAGTGTTAACAGTAATTGTACACATGTAAGATAGATAAACAGCTTCTTCAATAAATACACTGCAAATAAAAGCAAACAAAACCTCAAAACCCAAAGGCTGAATTCAAAATCATTAAACACAAAACAGAATTACTGAATTAAACATTAAACTACCATGGAACTGTTTTTGAGAACCACTAGCAGTGCAAGCCCTTGATGCCTTGTGTAGTAGATAACCCTTAAATCCCACACACTATCTACACTGTTATGATCTGACTTTGTCCAGTACCTACTTGGGGCATGCCCTACTTCGCTGAAACTTGCCCAAGCCCTTAAGTGTTAATTTCAAAGGAGTCCTTACTCAAAAGCATTAGGAAAACTGTGACTGCCCGGCCCCCCTGTCCCCAACATGCTTGATATAATTATTCTCTAGCTCACCTAAATTACTGTCAAGTTTCTCCTCAAACTTTTGCATGCTTGAGTTGTAGTTGGTGCCCCGTACAGAAGATGATGATGTTTCCTCAAATCCTGAGGTGTCATATCTACTGTTGTAGCTCCTCGCACTGGGGTCTCTTAACCTCATGGCTGGGTGTTCCATACAATCCTGCCCTTCCTTTTCTGCATCCCGCCGGCCACCAACCAGAGTCTCCAGCTTGCTGGGTCCCTGCGGCTGTTCCTCTGCTTTATCTGTTTCCGGCTTCTTGCTGAAGTAGTTGATCACACCACCAAAGACACTGCGCAATGATGTAACATGCTTTTTAGAAGTGTCGATGTCTTTGTTCATTTTGTCCAATTTCTTCTCAACATTTCTGAGCTGTTCCCCTTGCCTTAACAACTCCTGGCAAAAGAAAATTCTCACATCAGTGAAAACTTATCGCATATGTGTAAAACCCAGATTAGGACATCAAGACCTGATTGAGAAGTTCAGGAGTGTGGCTTCTCAAGATTCATTCTCTATCTTGGTTATTCCAGCCCAAAGACTCTGGGTTTTGGCTTAACCAATCAGGTGTTTGGAAAACTTTAATTTGTAAATTGTATACAATGTACCTCTTAAAACTACAACCCTTTACAGCTGGGGTATTATTATTAAAGAAGGCCTAGGCCTAAAATCTTCCCACAAAAAGGAGGCCCCTATTATGCCTATTTTGTATTTGTAACAAAAAATTCAATTTAAATCACCAGCATAACCAGATAATATAATGGCAGGAAAACTTTCAATTCAAAGCAGCAGCAACAAAAATAATAAATACGAAATCCCCGTATTACACAATGCTACTCACGTGAGCGGTTTCATTTCCTACGTTCTCTGCTTCGTACATTAATCCAAGGGATCGGTTTGTACTCTGTAGCATATTCTGCTGTCGTTCTTCGATTTGGCTTTGAAAGGAAAACCCGCTGTCTGTGCCATCCTCGTCTTCCTCCTCAACGCCAAAGTCCCCGTAAGGATATTTCTTCTCTGAGGGCCTTGATGTTCCCCTTGGGAGGACGACAAAATCATTTGCTTCATCATCATCATCAAAAGGATTTTTTGGTCGCCTTGCTCGAGACATTTTTCTTCCACTTCTCGTACGATCGTCACCACCGAACCGATCGTGCACTTTTGTACGTATGACCTTGACGTCATCTAAGTCAGTTTCAGAGTACACTGGTTCACGAAAATGCCCTTCGCAATATGCTTTCAGAGTGCGTTTACCAGCTAAGCTAGAGGTCAAATGTATTGAGGGCAAAAACGGCTCGTATATTCAAGTTATTTGTTATGTTTCAAAAACTTCATATTCTCAAAATTATTTTAAGAGTATATTATCACTATAAAATGAAATATGTCTATAAAATATTTTTGTTCCCAAACTATGTTTGAATTAGAATAAAAGTACGCTTTGATGTATATCCAAACGGTGAATATTGATAGATAATGAAAATAATAACAAACGTCATCCTGTGGTAGATTGTCCCGATTGTCCGGAAAAGAACCTGATTCTTCTACGATTTATGTTATCGTTTGATCCAATAAAATCCCTGAGATCAAGCACCATGCTTTGAAGAAAGACTTTTCTCAACATGGACTCTCTCGGGCCATGCATTTGAGCTATTGTTCTTATATTCCGAGGAGGAACATTGAGCGCGGTTTACGATTGATCAGCTGTACGTGGACCACATCAGCTGTGACCCGCGCAAGGTACCGTCGGCCGTCTTGAGACTCCCGCTGCGGTCACCTACTTACCTTGAGTCTGCACCAAACTCGCTGAGCTGGCAAGATGGCTTATCAATCACCAAGTAAACGGCCGGCTGCCTCGTCTCGAGCAGCCGGTGTTTCAGTTAAAGCTCAGCCTGTCAGGTAAGGCCTTGATCATGTTGATTGAGATAAAAAATTTGGATGGTGATGATTAACATGATCATGATAATAATGATGTCATGATTATTGGAGCATCACGGTATGAAGTTTAACGGAGACGATTATGTACTGTATACATGTAGCTATGTGCTTTGATCATGCATGGGTTATGCCACAGGCAGCTTTGGCATATGCCAGCTGTTGGGCAAGTCAGGAGGGCTGAGAAAACAAAGAATTTTTTTGGGGGGCATGTCATTTATTAATGTTCAGTGCACTTTACAGTCACTTCACCCTATCCCCACATCGCCCCATCTCCACTTCACCCCATCGCCACTTTGCCCCATCGCCACTTTGCCCCATCGCCACTTTGCCCCATTTCCACTTGTTCCACTTTGCCGTCCGTGCTTGAGTGTGTTACAAGCCTCTTAAAAAAATGGTCGAGAGAGTAGTTCGACAAATGACATGGAGTTATACATGTATATACAGAAAACTTCTCCAACCGTTATTTGGGCACGCAAACGTTAACCCTAACCCTCCTCAATCCTTCACCTGTTGGAGGACTGAGGAGTGTTAGGGTTAATGGTTTTATTTGTTGCATGTAAGCCTATGCCTCTGTTACTAAAGAACAGAATGAACGATAATAGGTGGGGTGAAGTGGGAATTGGCCGAATTGGTTAGGGGCGAAGTGGCATGGGGCGAAGTGACCGACACCTTTCGGTGCAATCTTGAGAATGCTAGTCAACTTGTACACATGCCAACTCGTACGCCAACCAACTCGTACGCCGCGTACATGTAGTTTAGTTCTTATACAGTACAAGTGCTATCATCTGCTGGGAATTAGATTTATGAAGTGAGAGTAATCACTGAAGATTGTAGGGTTTCTTTAATTTTTCCTAGCAATCTGGTCAAAAAAACCAAAGTGGGATTTTTAATTTTGTTTAAAAATCTTTTCTCCTGAGATTTTTGGGTGGTATTATTTCAAATATGGTACCATTTTTTAATGTCCTAGCTAAAAATTCTATTCATTTAGGAAA